TGTGTTGAGCACGAGGGCCTCTTTGTTAGCGGCTACAAGCTAACCGAAGCTAAACGAGGCAGAGAAACACCAATGTCCACCGAGATGACTTTAATCGGACACGAAGCTTCAAAGAAAGATATTTTAGTCCAGTGAGATGATTGTGGACGCCCCGGGTGGAGGTTTGAGCACGTTGAAGACAAATTCAGGAGAATTTCGTCAAAGGTTGTCTATCCCTCAACGCGGACCAGTTCCGTACTGCTATCAAGCCACCAATTGTTTATCCTCTGCATGACGGAAATCTGCCGACAGCGAGCCCCGTTGACCACCTTCAAAATAAAAGCTTTCCCAACCGTTCGCGGTTTGGATTGAAAATAATGTTGGAAAATAATTTCTTGGCGGTCAGGCAACGACGAGTTCTGAAGTTGCGACAGAAAATTAAGTCAATGTTAACTCTCCCTCAATGACTAAAATTTCACCGCATTAAAAAAATAGATGCAACACACCTGATTCAATTGTTTTGGCCTCGACAGAGCTTGCTGATGAGCTCATCACTTGAATCACATTCCAAAACCATGCATGGCAGGCTGATTGAACACTCTAAAATTGTCCCTAACTGCAAGTGTGAGCATGGATGGTTGTTCGTCTCTGTCTGCCGTGAGATTGCCTGTCACCCAGTTCAGGGTGTACCCCACCTACTGCCTGTTGATGGCTGGCATAGGCACTCCCGATGACTCTTGTGAGGATAAGCGGATTGGAAAATGGAAGGATGGATGTAACAAGCCTCAAGTAGTTATTTTGTGTGTGTTGAGTTAATTCGGTGCTCTTAATTAGTCGAATGAATGTTTGACATGTTTTGTTCAAATTTTTTAAAGTTCCTCGTGGAAATGGCTCATGTTTACGCTGTACCATCTTTCAATCAAAACAATGTCATTTGCTCTTATAGATGACACTCTTCCCCATTTTGCTGTCAGCATAATGGGAATAAACTGCTGTCACCACAACCTTGGTCAGCTCCTGTGATTTTATTTCTGTGAAGACATCACTGATGTCACACATCCATAGGCCGTTGTATTTGTAAATTAGTGAGCACACATTGTGAGCAAAAAACAAGGAAAGTGTTGGGTTTTTGTTTTATTTTGGTGGTGGAGCATTTGTCACCCAAGTTTATTTTGTCGCCCAAGCGGGAATGCCTAGAATATTTGTTATTATTACTCGTAGTCGTAGTGGTAGAGGTATGATTATCATTTAAACCAGAATTCAACAGCAATTTCTGATTTTCATTCATTTTTTGGACTACTTTTCTTGTTTTTGTTTGTTTGTTTCATTCTTCTTTGTTTCTGTAAGAGACGTTACCAACAATTTTCTACACCTGTAGCTTGCGTGTGGAATTCAGGATAGAAATGGATCATGACAGAACTGGTCACGATTTCGTCTTCAGGCGTTCCGTTGTCGCCCTTTCCTGGTCAGTAGGAGGAATGCTGTCGGGGACAACTTCCGGGAATCGAAGAAGAACCCCTTATTTCCATTGTGTTTTGTGCCAAATTCTATTTTCGAAAAAAATGAATATTGAAGAAAAGGCTCAGCTCCTTTCTTTGTTTATCACGAAACGTTCGTGTTGACGCATTTAAGTATCGCGTTATTTCAGCACCTGCCAGTTCCGGGTTTGCGTCCTGACCAAGTTCATTACGTTCCGATCTATTTCAGCCTTTGTCCTTTCAGTTCCTTTGTGCCGTTTACCTCATTGGCGATTCCCAAAGCCCTCGAGTACATGACCAAAACGTGAGTACCATGCGGCGTATTTTTCCGGTTTAATTAGTTGCGACTGGTGTTCGCGAGTGTGCCAGCCGCATGAGCACGCTAGGATCGGGTCGCCGCGTTCGCGAGTGTTATCCACATTAGCACGTTAGCATCGGGCCGCCGCGTTTCGCGGCGATTACAAGTAAATACAGAGGCATCGTTTGTAATTATATGTTAAGTTGTGTTAATGGTGCGACGCCTGTAGCTCCTTCTCGTTCTGACGACGACCGTGTGTATTTTGTTTCCAAATGTGTGTCGGCCTTAGTTTCATTAAATGTAAGTGTAGTTAATTCATGTGGCCCCTAGATGGTACCATTACCTTGCATTTGATTTGTTATTCCTTGGTTGCATCCAGGAGTATGAAGAATGTTATGTTATAACATGGAAGTTTCCTTTCTGACATTTGTAGATTCGATCCCTCTTCATTCGGTCAATCCCTCTTCATTCCTCGATCCCTCATCTTCGATCAATCTCCCTCCTCCGATCCCTCGATCAATCCTCCCCCCTCAAAAGCCTTCAATCCAACCTCAACCCACACTCATTCATTCCTACTCATCCTTCATCTTCCCTCTTCAGCCCTCCTCAGCGTCCCTCCTCAACCAACATCACCCTGTATTGCTTGTATTTCCCTGTATTCATTTTAAGACCACAGTAAAGAATATTGAAACACTCCCACGATTAGCATTATCCCGATATGGAGGGGGGGGTTATGTGCTCCAAGCACAGATATGACTTCTTCATGGTGGCATAGGGAAATATTAAAAATATATTGTGCGACAATGTAAGGGTTATTTACATGTTTTTTTGTCTAAAATTGTCACCTGACGTATCCAAAACGAGACCGAAGCGCGCAAATTTTGAAAATAAACCGTTCAATACGTCACAGGCAGGCTGGGCCTGAACCTCCTGCATCACAGTTTCCGTGTGCATGTGAGTTGAGTGAAAATGTAGGTGATTGAACAGTCAGAGCCGAGTTGCTGCCAAAAAAGAACCCTTTCTGCACTGAAATACAATAAAATTAATTTTGATTCCGTTTGCTGCAAAACAAACTGGATACTTCACACTTGACCAGAAAGTTAATTTAAAATGTATTACCTCAATTCAAAAACAAAATCTGATGTTCAAATGAAAAGTTTTGTATTTGAAAGACTAAATATGAAAATAAACAGAATTTAATTTTCAGTGAAGATCAAATACCGTTTCAGAGAAAAAAATCGTACCCTTTCAAATTCAAATTGGACAATTCAGATTCAGTTATTCAATATGATTCAGCGTAAAATATACAAATCCATCCATTATCCGAGCCACTTAACTTCAATCCATGTATTTTAAATTCAGTATAAACTGTTAAAAATTTATTCACGTTTAGTTTTTGGTGGCAAATATTCCGCCCCACTGTGTCACAACTAATTTAAGAAATTTCAAGGGTTATTTTTGCTGACCATTCATTGGTCATTAAATGTACAAATGTTTGTTTTCCGAACACACTGTCCATCCTTGTTTTCTTACAGTTCTTACAGCCGCTGTGAGACCTAACAGCCTGACGAACATCTTGGGCCTCAGACCAGGAAATTGATGTTACAATCAAAAGATGGCTACATTTGGATCCTGATAGGGGTGGTGACAGGAAGGAGAGCATGAGAAGGAAAGAGGGCATGGAGAGCGCAACAATTTGATGGATAGAATAATGCCGTTCAAGAGTAAGCTGCATCCCAATTTGGACTTTGTGTTCACTGTTAAATAAAGAAAGGTGCATTTTTCCGGTGTATGTGCAGTTTTATGTGAGGTTCACAAATTATGACAATAAACATTTTTATAACAGTCGTTTTTGAGACTTTTTTGAAAAAATGTGTGTCAAATATGGCTCATGAAAGATGTGGCTTACTTAAGGTTGAATTAAGGCTGATATCAGGAACCTGTTCTGGCCCAGACGCCTTTGGCAAAGGCGTCTGGCCCGGAATCGGCATGAAGCTGGCACAGCTGGCCTTGTGTCGGCACTGGCATAATGCATGTGGGCCGAACACGGCCCAGGCGTGGCAAAGGAGGCACTGGCTTGACTCTGGCAAACCAGATGAGGGCCAGTTGTGGAGTGAAGTATTTGGGCCAAAAATCAATTTACAACTCCGGCCCGTATATGGCCAGCCAGTATTGAGCCACCCTTAAATGCAGTTTCAGATGTTTTTTTTCTTCTACACACAGCCTTGTTTTACAATTGCACACCGATGCGGAATTCCATTCATCACACACACACACACACACACACACACACACGCACGCGCGCGCACACACGCGCACAAGCATACACTGCGCGCGCGCGAGTGTGCACCCACACGCATTCGCACAAGTCCTAATTCTTGTTCACGCTCGCTAGTGCGCACACACAAATTAAACGTGGTCAAATAAGATTATGTTGAAGTCGACTGGCGTCGCCGAAAGAAGGTACGAGTACAAGTTATGAATGTTCGTGTTTTTTTTTTCCTCGTACGTACGTTAATATACAAGAGTCAAGTATTGCTATACTCCGATACAATAGGTGGTGATGCACCGCAAACGTTAGCTGCCACCCGGCAATTAAGAAGAAGAACAAGAAGAAGAAGCAAGAAGAACAGCGCTTGCAGCCTCGCGTGGTGGGATGCCTCCGAGCAGCGCGAGTGGAGAACGTCGGGGCTCCTGGGCCCCTGACGCGGTTAAATGCCCACCAGCCGGCGGGAAAGGAGATGGGGTCTCACCGGAAGGTGAGGCGCCCAGTGCTCGCCCCGCCGGAATGGAGGGGAGTTGGAGTAGCCGCCCCACAACCCCCCTGAAACAATAATCAGGCGAGGGCCCTGCCGGGGCGATCACTGGGTGTGAACCTCGCAAGGCACCAACCGATTGCCCAGGAGGAAGAGGAGGAGGACAGCGCTCGCAGTGAACGACAACGCTCTTTGCCCACAGTTGTCCATGCACGCTCCGGTGAGACATCCAGAAAAGACGTGGTGAGTAAATTTATTTCATGCTTAGATGAACATTGGTTCTTTGTTACAGTATCCTGACAGTTACAATACGAAGACAATTCTGTCTATAGTTGAGCCTGAATTTTGAAGGGCGCTAATAATTACGATTAGCGTGAGCCCGATATGGGGGGGGGGGGGTTCTTCATGGTGGCATAGGGAAATATTAAAAAATATATTGTGCTACAATTTAAGGTTTATTTACATGTATTTTTTTTTCTAAAATTGTCACCTGCTGTATTTAAATCGAGACTGAAACGGGCGAATTTTGAAAATAAACCGCTCAGCTACGTCACATAGAATGGGCGTGAACCTCCTGCATCACAGTTTACGTGTGCATGTGAGTTTCGTGAAAATGTAGGTGATTGAACAGTCAGAGCCGAGGTGCTGCCAAAAAAGAACCCTTTCTGCACTGAAATACAATGAAATTAATTTTGATTCCGTTTGCTGCAATACAAACCGGACACTTCATACTTGACCATGAAGTTAATTTAAAACTTAGTACCTCAATTCAAAAACAAAATCTGACGCTGGAATGAAAACTTTTGTATTTGTAAGACTGAATATGAAAATGAACAATATAATTTTTCAGTGAGGATCAAATACAGTTTCAAAGAAAAAAAGTATCGTTTCAAATTCAGATTGTACAATTCAGATTCAGTCATTCAATATGATTCAGAGTAAAATATACAAATCCATCCATTATCCAAGCCACTTAACTTCAATTCATGTAATTCAAATTTAGTAGAAACTATTCAAAAGTTATTCACGTTGAGTTTTTGGTGGCAAATATTCCGCCCCACAGCGTCACACCTTGTTTAGTTTTGGTTGTAAAGTGTCCTTGAGTGTCTTGAAAGGCGCTTATAAATGAAATGTATTTTTATTATAAGAAATGTCAAGGGTTATTTTTACTGACCATTCATTGTTCATGACATGTACAAATGTTTGTTTTCCTCACACACTGTCCATTCTTGTTTTCTTACAGTTCTGACAGCTGCTGTGAGACCCAACAGCCAAACATCTTGGGCCTCAGACCAGGAAATTGATGTCACAATCAAAAGATGGCGACATCTGGCTCCTGATCGGGATGGTGACAGGAAGGAGAGCATGAAAAGAAAAGAGGGCATGGAGAGCGCAACAATTTGATGGATAGAAAAATACTGTTCAAGAGTAAGCTGCATCCCAATTTGGACTTTGTCTTCACTGTTAAATAAAGAAAAGTGCATTTTTCCAGTGTATGTGGAGTTATATGTGAGGTTCACAAATTATGACAATAAACATATTTTTATAAGTCGTTTTTGAGATCTTTTTTTTAATGTGGGTCAAATATGGCTCATAAAAGACGTGGCTGAGTTGAGGTTGAATTAAGGCTGATATCAGGAACCTGTTCTGGCCCAGAGTAGGGCCGGATATGGTTATACAATGCGGCTCAGATCCGGGCCGAATGCGGCCCGGATAATGGATGCCGGACACCGGGCCCCGCCGGGCCGTCATT